CTGACTACATGCTATTTTACAAAGGTAAAATCTCTTCAAGGTCAAAGGGAACTTTCACTTGTGTGTGGAGGGAAGGATCAGACTCTTTACTTTGAAATCTGTATCAACTGTGATAATTTAAAACTTTAATTAAAGACTCAGTGACAGATTATCTACAAAACGTCTTCCTGCTGCCCAGTATTTCATCACAAATGTCTCCAGAAGCCCACAGTAACATGAGTAAGCATAGTTGCCAGGAAGTATTTAATTGTGGACGTTAGCTTTTATCTGCCTTGTTGGTAACAAATTCTTTTGTTGAGGATTGGTGGCAACAAAAATTAAATTAAAAGAAAAACCAGACCCCAAAACAGAAATTTATAGTGCTTATTCTGTTCATCCCTCAAGAAAATGAAAGTGCCAAGGCAAAGTCTATTTTAGCAATTGTGTTAATGTATGTGTAAATGGACGAAGGCGCCTTTGAAATGCTCTGAAAAGAATTTCACACTTTAGAGAGGAAAAGAAGTTAACAATTCTATTGTGGCATTTATTGGAATTTCTAAATTAATTTCCCTGACACAGCTGTGCCATAAAATCCCCCATGATGATGAATTTTTGCTAATGTTGAAATTATTTTTGGATATAACTCCGAATGAGCACTTTGTAAAATCAGGAGAACACTGGTTGCTGGGAACCCTCACTGCCCTTTTCTTGCCTCCACTCACCTCCATCCTTTCCCCAAGCAGCTGTGAGGCTGCTAATTTGAAATTGCATTTGGTTTTTCTTCCACAGAGCAGCAAACCGGGGATGGATGCACAAGTAGCATGAAGCTGAGCCCCCTTAGAGCGGTGGGCAAAGATCAGCATGTCGCTAACTGAGCACAGCATGGGAGCAAGGACCTCTGAGGCCACCTGGGGACTCCTTGCTGGAGCACATCTACTCTTCTCCTAGAAAGAGCATGTTGGGAGTGGGTGGTTTTGGCTCTGAACAAGCAGCACTGGGCAAGGCGAAACACAATGAGTCTCTCCTTTGCGCAGTGAGAGTTGTTCCAAGCTGTCAAAGAGGAAGTCATTTAATCTGGATCACAAATTAACCAGATTAAGAGATGGCCCCCCCCCCCCCTCCCAGCCTTCTGCATCCCTGCCAGATCATGTCCAAAGGGTTGAAGCAAATGTAAAGAACAACCTCATAGCAATGCATAAGGAATGGCTTTAAAAAAAACCATGTCCCACCAATAATGAGGCTCAACCCACAGCAGTGGATGGATTTATGGGGAGGGACAAGCAGAGGTCTGGAAATGAAGAGTTCAGGGTCAGGTGAGAGGACCTGGGGGAAGCATGAGTAACACCACGCAGGCATGTCTACAACCCTGGACACAGGAGGATGGTGACCTCGTGAGGGATTTTTGCTTGGAAAGGCTTCGGTGTAAGCAGAGTGGATGGATGTTCTTGCTGAACTGCAGGAGAACCTGGGGGCAGGAGGCATAGCATAGATGGTGGCAGCCACGAGCTTAACAGTGATAGACAAATTTTAGAGCCCGCAGAGGAGAGAGTTAACAATAGGTGACACACTTTTGTCTGGAGAAGTCACAGTGACTAGAAATAATAACTTGGGGCCATAATTCTGCGGTCTGTCACCACTAGGAAACATGAAATCCAGCGACCTTTCATCTCCATGACAAAAATGCTGTGCAGCACCTGGAGCCATCCCCCTTAAAATCCACTCTGACAAACTGGATGATGGGACACGGAGGATAAAATGTCCTCATCCTCCTTCACCCCCAGATTTTAGCCTCCCAGTGAACTCTGCCTGCTCTGCATGTAATGTTGTATCTGCTGCTGAGCAGAGCCAGCTTTGCACGAGACACACCACATTTAGCAAAGCACAAGATAACAATTCTATTTCTTTTGACAATAAGGAAAAAGTCTCCAAAGCCACTTGTTCAGACTGCTCTTAAATGATGGTAGAGGGAGGGAAATTGATACTGGCTTTTTATGAATCTTCAGGTCAGGTATGTTAGAATCAACAGATTTTTGCATTAACCTCACTGCTTCACAGCACTTTTGCGCTTGGCAAGACATAATTAAGAAAGGCATGAAAATCTATCTGAATGTATCAAGAGGAAATTATTCTCCTGTTAATGGCAGCAACAGCAAAAAAAGCAGGCAAGCCACGCTGCTAGCAGAGTGCAGCAAATGATGCAGGGCTATGCTTTAACCTAAACCGAGGATTTTCCTTACCAAAGTTTTAAGGAGTAGCTTTTGAAATGAGGATTTGCACTACATATTGTTCTGGGGATTAACTTTTATTTTCCCCAGCAGCTGTATCCCTTGAGCTCTTCTGTTTGTCAGTCTAAAACGATGACCACAGGGACTAAGGCTAAGCTAAAATCTTTGCATCACACTGAAACATCGCACTGTAACTGCCTTCACCACTTTGGTAGAAAGCAAAAACTACTGGATGGAAGGAAAAAAAACAAACAAATTTTAAAAAGGGAGGGTTTCAGTCACTTAAGTGGGTCTGTCAGCTTGTGTTATCTTCATGCATTTGTGAAACTGAGCTTTAATTGACTGGGTAGATCGGAGAGCCAAAAGATAAAATCTTGGTCTCAAGAAGAACAGACAGCTTAAAGCATTGCGATCCGCATTCATTAGGACGTGTCAGAGGGATTTAGAGGGGGAAGAGACACAGCAATGTCTGTTAGAAGTTCCTCAAATGTAAGAGGGAGGCGAAGCGTGTGCGCCACACTCGGAGCCACATCCAAGAGCAGTAACAAAATTTGCTCATCAGATTCCCTGTGACAACGGAGGCTATCTTGGCGTCTACTGATTTCTATCACTGTGTGAATTATTTCATTTCATTTGCAAAGGATAAAGGCAGAAATACAAGCATTGGCCAGCTATTAGCCAGTCAGCTCCAGCTGCAGCAGGAGGAGCAGAAAGCCCTGCCAGCTGGGGGGTCGCACAATCCATCCCTACAGCGAGGCTGCGACGCAAGGAGGGGTTCAGCTCCCCTCCACAGTATTCCCCATGTAGATATGCTCCTGGATCCCAAGGAATAGCCAAGCCACCGCGATGCCTCTCCACTTCATCCACCGCTGGCTCAGAGCTGTGCTGCTAGCCCCGATCTCCCTGGCCCCAGAGACCAGGATCCCCAAGGCATGCAGGTTGCTCTTAAGAGGACGCTGAGAAATACTTCCCTGCCTAAAACAGGTTTCAGACAACTTTATATCTGTATCTCCAACAGATGAGTGAATAGAAGAGTGGAGAAATTTGGCTAAACCATGGAGGAAGCCTCCTGGCTTCTAGTTGAGGGTTCCAATCACTGTGCCCTGGAGCCCCTTCAGCGGGTGGCTGATTGTCCTTCTGTCCTCCTCTCCTCATTTCCTTCAGCATGAGCTGCTTCTTCCCCTTTCCTCCTGGTTATCTGGGCACTCTGACTGTTTTTGGAAGAAAGATGCTGCCCACTCTCAATCACCAGGGATGTTGGGACTGCAACACAGAAAGCCACTGACCCCCAAAGTGGGAGAGTCTGTTTACTGGGGGAAATGGACATGGTGGTGAAGGGTTAGTAAGGAAATCCAGCAGCTCCTGGACCTGTGTGAAGCCACCTTTGAGTCTGCACTCCTGGGAAGCCTGCCTGATAGTCACAGTTTGGATTCGTGTGACGCGAACCAGGTGGGAAGGAATCGGCAAGTGCTGCCACCGTAAATGAGGGGGTTCAGCATGGTACCCTACATGTGATGGGGACACAGAGGAGGCGTTCGTTCGGGTGTAAATGAATCTGGGCTACAGTGACAGGCACGGCGATGGCCACTGTTAGCTCTCCCAGTCATCAACCGAAGACATCAATCTCATTGAGTGTGATGGGAAACCCCACACCCAAGTGCAGTGGGCCATATGCAAAGGTGGTGGATAGAGCTCGTTAACAGACCTTTTCTTTGACGTTCACCAACAACAACAACAAACCAATGAAATTTCCTATGAACATCTTCTGCTTTTCAAAAGAAACATAAAACTCTAAACGAAAACCTTCCAAAATATTTTTTAGTAAAAATCATAGTTTAACATAAACCTCAGGATTTCAAGTAGCATTTTCAGTATAATTTTCCAGACCAGTCTTAATTTTGACAATTCCTTTAGTAAAAATATTTTGCATTTCCAACTCCTTGCTTTTCTCTGTCTTAAAGAGCAGAAAATGTATTGAAAATGTTATTTATTTGTAAACATTTTCATTTAGATCCAAAAGCAACCATTACTCTTCTCCAGCAGCAGTGATGTATGTAAGAGGAGATATATATGGATAGTGAATGTAAACATGAGAAGATGAGTCTAAGTAGCCATTTCTTACATGTTAATAAAGCCATGAAGAGGTTTATGTGAAGCTAGCTCACCTTTTAATCTGTCTTCATATCATACCTACATTAGGAGAAAGGTGCTTTTCCAGAGACATATGTGTGTATGAGCTGTGGTACAAGACTAGAGAGATCTTAGAAACAGATCTGTTTTCCAAAGGAGTACTTTCAGTCATCCCAGCCAGTGCTACACACACAGACTCCAGCACACAACCAATGCCGTTACAGGCTTGGTGGGTGTTTTACTGGCCCCACTGGAAGTGTTGCCATTGATATTAGTGAGTTTTCCCCGGCCTTAGGTAATAACCATTGGTTTCTTAATTTAGGGACAAAGACTCTCTCTTTTTTATATACTTGATTTCATGTTAGACTAGTTATGAGAAAAAAGCAAAGACATGAAACGACTATCACCGATATCAGACTCAATCCTAGAAAGCCTTACTCAAGTCAGCAATCTCATCAGCTTCAATAAGAAGACACAGGCCAGGCAGGGCAGCCTTAATTTTCAGTTGCTACCTTGTAATGGGAGCCCACGCACAAGGAGAAGTAACAGCCCCAACGCCAGCCTGTGCTGATGGAAGCTAATCTCCTGGCGATGTATCAGTAACAACATTTTAATAAAATGTTTCCTTTATATCTGTTTGTTAAAGCCAATACAGTACTTTCTTACCATTTTTGCAGACAGGACAACACTGTTCTGGTTCATAGACCGGGTTGACACACTCGGGAACTGCGCAGTCTGCTACAACACAGTGAACTTCATTGCTGGGCTCGCAGCGACACCATTCGCATGGCGAGGGCTAGGAACAAATCTAAAATTAGCCCATTTCCTCCCGTAGCTCACAAATTTGCAACATTTCTATCTTGCCATAAGATAAACACATCTGCGTTCAATACTTCTTGACTGCATTCATTCATCATGGGTAATTCAAATTAACCTATAGGACAAAACAGCAACATCTGAAACAGGCAACCAGAACACTAGAAAAAAACAGCGAGCATGACACATGTTTTCCCAGAGAGGGTGCGGGGTTTTTCAGCTTTTGTCTGACTTCAGCTCCCTTCATCAAAAAGACTGAGCTGAAGCCCCTAGGTTGTACTTCTGCTCTACTCATCTGTAGCTCTCTCACACATTTGGCCAGGAGCAGAGCAGGACTGTTGGAAGACCACGAGTGGTGGTTCATCCCAGGAAGGGAGGACAGGGTGATTTCCCAGGTCATATCTCAGGTAGACCACCACTGCCAGCAAACCCCAAGCTGTCAGAAAGGTGCTGCTGGGGTGCTCTGTCCATCTGCCGGCCTCTCGATGTCCTTTCATTCCCGCTTTTCAGAGCAGAGGAGAAGACCGTGGTTCTTGGAGGGGCAAAAACATTTTATTCTGTGTTTGTGCAGCACCTGCATCAGGGGTCTGTAAGCACTCCCATACCATAATCATTGGATCTGGTCCTGGCCCCACTCCTGCCTGTTTCAGCAAGGTTGTGAGCAACTGCCTCACATAGAATACGTAAATAATTAAGAGCCTAAATAATTGTGCTGAAGTCAGGGAGTTCTGGATTAAAGCACCCAACTAAATGGTTTTGTTTCAGCTCCATCAATTTGAACAGGAATTTCTATCTACCTCCAAACAGTAGAGGGTTGTCACTGTCTCGCCTTTTGAAAAGCTTTGGAAATCTGTTAAAAAATAGAAAGGTCAGTGTTTTAAGGTTCCCAGTGTTCTTATGTGTGTGCAAGTGTGATGAAAGGATGACAGCAGAGCTAAAAAAGGAGAATAAGAGGAGAATTTGAAAGGAAAAAAAACTTCCTTTCAGTACCTGTAGGTTCAATACATAACTCCCAATTCCTCAGCAACGGTAGGTCCATCACTAACACTTGAACGAGTAAATGTGGGTATTGGAAAAAAATCTGCTTTCTGTTGCATTGGTGGGAATCTATAGCAATAGGAATTCCTCCATATTAAAAAAAAAAAAAAAAGTGAAATGCAAAGGAAAGGAGGATTCAGCCCAATGTGTTTCAGACCCCAGTGATGGGTCTCTCATTTCTACAGACAGATACAACCAGTGAACCCCGGTTCTGGCAGGTAAAAAGCTTCTCAGTTCACCTCTAAGAAGTTCCATATGTCTTGAGTCAAATAATTTATTCCCAGGAAATGCATTTCTACCTTAAAATACACTAATTAAAGCTTCCCTTGCTTTGTCTTAGTGTCTGCAGTCTATAATTCCCATCACCTCTCATTTGCTCACGGCTTTGGCAATTTAGATAAAATCAGCACTCCTTGAGCAAGGGAAGAAGTCTGTGGAGGTGGAATTCCTCTGTCTAATTATCTTTCCTCATTCAATCCTGCTTTGATTTCTGTCTGAAACACCAGGAATCTAAATTCATTTGACTGACATTTCTTATTCAAGGCTACTTAAGGAGAAGAAACAATACACAAGAAAATAGACAGAACTATTTGCTGAGGGATCAATAAGAAAATTGCTGCTTTGTTTTTACTCATTTTAATCGCTAATTATATGGAGCAGTAGAACTAGATCTTGTGATTTGTGGAGGCTTTCACTGACGTATCCTTCAGGACTTCTCCCCATCTTCACTACTACAGTGGCTGCAATGCTAAGAAATACGTGATGCATTTCGAGGACTGCAGCCCAATCTATAGCTTGAAGATGATCAGCACAAGCAGAAGACGCCCCTGAACAACTCTGCAACTGAGTAAATGAGACATGACATACACATCTTTCGCTTGTGCGTTGTCGGTGTAACGTGAAAATGACACTGTAATAAACCATGATGCTGCTTGACATTGAAAGCAGCTTTTCAAGAGGGAAGAACTGCACACAATTAAAGAAGGAAAGCACACCTCAGCGGTACACCGAACAACCAGCCAGCAAACAAAAAGGCTGCTCTGGCATGAATGACAAGACTTTTCTCAGCCACCTTCTCTTCCCCACCCTGTCAAAGTTAAGCTACCTGGTCTGGCCTCCAGGATCTTCCTCTATCTGACCATTATGTTCACTTGCCAGTGCCCCTTACCATGGCTCTTACCCAGCCCCTGACCTCCATGGGTGACTCAAGCCTTGGCGTCCACTCAGCTTCTGAATGTCTCGGCACTTTGGGATCCGATTTGCAAACCTCTGCCCCTACAGAAAGGACTTTGCCCCAAGTGACTGAGCATCTTTTTACTGTTGTCTGGGGGCTCTGCATCGCAGCTATCAGTTTCCCTAGAGCTACCCTTCTTGTGGAACAATTATGGGACACTGGCCAAAACAGTCCTCTATTTATTTACATAGGCAGTAGGTAGACCAAGCAGCGAAATGACAAACTGGGAACCAGTGCAGAACAGGCAACCAGTGAAAGATGTCCGAAAGTTTTGTTTTCTGATTCCTGATTTAAAGATTTATACCCCATGGAAGAGAGGTGGTTTACACTTCTGTAGCCACTGAAGTTCAAATACCATCTAACACCAGTTCAGGAAAAGAAACTCTCATTCCTACTGAAAAACAAGGTTCAAAAAATACAGCAGATTTCTGAAGTATGAAGGAGAGAGGACAAAAATCAGAGGCTATGCCATTCCCACATGGACAGTACAAACGCTTTATTCGTGTCCCTTGAACTGATATTCTGGAAAAAGTGTTTAAGATTAGTGGATCATAAAAGGCTTGGTCCAAAAGATGATTTATTTATTTCACCTGTCCAATGCAGAATAATCTCTTAGTAGACTCTCTAGGGAAGGATTTCAAGTGATGTTGGTGTGGAAACATTCTTCTCACCATTGTCCAAAAGGAAATGATGTTCACGGTGCCCAGCCATAACATAGATACATGTCCACATAATTGCATGGTCCCTTACTGTTCAAGGTATGTTTTAAGAAATGGACCTATCATTAAAACCAGAGGATAGAACGGGGTCCTTTTGTAGAAGGTATCAGTACGGTATTTTGATTTGGGAAAACTGGTGCAAAGCACCTGAAATTCTTTTTACTCAATTTTCACTTACAACAGGGGTGAGAGCACTAACCTTCAGAACTAGTGAGGAAATATGCTCTTTGATGTTGTTGTCAGTGTAGGGGCCAAGTCAAGCCAAGTTGGTGGGAAGCAGATGTGGCCAACATCTAACCACCATTCAAGGGCTTTTGAGAACAGATGAACTGGGACAAAGAGCACAAAGGACCTTCTCAGTCTCAGCACTGACCCTGATTCACCTCTCCTTCAGCCAGTCACTTCAAAGAGACCAAAGAAGTACAAGGATGTGGAACCTAAACACCCCTGTTTATAACCCCTCCTAAGATCAAGGCCCGACTTCTATTCCTCTTCCGGACTACTGATCTCAAGGAGGACTGTGACTCTAGGCTTGGCTGGGAGAGCAGGTTCATTCCCTACTTCTACCACCCCACACAGCGGGGTGACCGGAGGAAGGAGCCACCACTCATCTGTGGCTGGAAAGCCTTTGTCTCAGGTGCTGTCAAATGGGAAACATCTGCAATCAGGAGAGTTTGTTAACAAAGAAAGAAAGAAGGAAAATTAAAACTGAGAATAGAGAATACACGTGGCTAATAAAGATTTTATGTGCATGAGCACATAATGATAAACTTGATAAATGATATAAACAAACAAACGAAAAAGGCAGCAAAGGAAACAGAATGAGAAACAAAATACACCCTGAGCAGAGGAAATTTAGAAGCCAAACAAGATGTGGGTACCGTAGCTCCTTAGCTTCACTCTCGCTCCCATACACAGCAGTTCCCCACCATTTTCACCCTCTCTTTGGAAGCAAATGCCAGCACACGTAGGAAGCAAGCTTGCTAACATCATCCAGCTACTGCTCACAGTGATAAGGGGCTCCCTCTCTTATGGGGTTGGGCACCACGTGGGTCCTTCTTTAATCAGCCACTAGGTTTCATAAAACCACAGAAATTTCATAGCTCTGAGAGGTCTACACTCGATGGCTCCAGCAGGCCCTCAAGTCATCCAGAAGGACTGGAGGACAGACAGACAGATCTCACAATCAACCAGTTCCTCAGGAAAATAACCTAAAATACTGATTCTTCCCAAACTTACAGGAGAGGTGAAGAAAAGGAAATGGAAAATTAAATTCAAAACTCAGTGTCTAAATCTACTCTTTTATGCTTTTCTACAGCTGAAAAGATCCGAATCAAGCATTTTTTTAGTCTAAGGCAGCTGATACAATCACACAAATAACCGACACACAAAACTTCAAGGTTTTAGGGACGATCTTGCAAGAAGCTTCTGTAAGACCTAAGCTTTACTGCATCTGAGACATCTCAGTCTTAGAAATTCCCTTGTCCCAAATACTTCCTGAACCTCACCTGTATTTCACATTTTAGCTCATGCCTTGTCCATAACTACAGCACCCCAAGCTACACCTCTGCTGCCCCAAACATGTAAAAGACTTTACTATATCATGTAGATTGCCCTGCAAGACCTTATTCCTGAGTAGTAAGTATTCTCCTTGAGTGAATGGAGGAAGCTTACATATATATATATACATGTACATATACATATTTATATGAAACATTATACTGCAGCCCTCCTCTTCCCCAACTCCAACATGGATTTATCTGTCTACATGTCTGCTTGTCAATCACTCTTCGACGCTTCTACACAAACATCTCTAGAGAAGTGGAAAGGGAATGATTTAGCTAAGACAAATTAAAAACTTTGAAGATGACATCCGATTGATGCGTTTTCTTTACCTGTTTGTTCTGTCAGTCAGAAGCAATTTTACTCAGTTTTTGCTCCGCTGTTGCATTCAGCAGGCTAACCACGGTTTCCAAACACGCTCCCTTC